ACTGGAGATGGTGCTCACCTCATCCCCACCCCCAAGGGGTCCAGATGGTGCCAGAAGAAGCAGAGCCGGTGATAGCTCGTTTTCCCTCCTTATGCCTGGATACAGACAAGGAGAGGTGAGCAGGCCATCCAGAGGCTGCTCCTCCCCAGAAACTATCACCTGACAGCTGGGACAGTGAGGGATGCCGTTGAAGACTTGGGAACAGATATTTTAATTCCTCATGGTTCGTTCTTGGCTTCTGCTCTGTTTCCATGCCCAGAGATAGCAAGGATGAGTCTCCCCCCTTTCCCGCACTGTCTGTAAATCCCTACTGTACCACTTTTCAAGGCTCAGATTAGAGCTTGCCCAGTCCTGTCCGCACTGTGTCAGTTGCCATTGTTAGGATAAGCTACTCAAGGATAGGTACCGCGCCGTGTTTGTGACTTTATCTGCAGTGCACAGCGCAGTGCCTATCAGAGCAAGTGGTTGGAATTTGCTGTTGAATGGAGTGGACATCTCTCCTCACTTACCATTTGAATCACCTGTTAGTGTTTGATCATATTATAATATCTGATTATCTCATGTGTGGTTCTGTTCCAAAGGTGCTGCAGAGTTGGCACTGAATCTTATGATTCTTTGAACATCATACCCTATTAGGCAGGGGGTGAGGGGCGAGATCGCACAGCAGATACTTGGAGAAGCCTTGAGGGCTGCAGCTTCACCCACTCTGAAGCAGGCTTGCAGAAGTCTGTCATGGGATCGCTGTATTGGTTGCTAACAAAGTTGTGATGTATTCCTTCTGGAGAAAGAGAAACAAAAACAGAATGCTGACTCCTCCGTAGTCTCAGCATGAGGGTCATAGAAATATAAGCTTCTTTTCCAGTCCGCATTGCTCCATTCCTCAGACACCGATTTAAGAGTAGGAGCACAGAGGCACACAAATAGTACATTTCCCTTCACACCCCTCAAGGTGAAATTTCTGCTGCTGCACAGGGACTTGTGGGAGCAGTTCTGTAGTTACTGCTGCACCATGCATTTATCATTCTGCTCCCCTGGCATATTTTGCCAAGCTGCGTAAAATTCCCCATTCCTTCCTACACTCGCCAGCTCCATGATGATGGTGCATCTGGTGGCCATGGCTTCCCTGATCGGGGTTTATGACGATAGCAAGCAGCACTTACCAAGTCCCAGTGGATGACCAGTTCTCTGCTAAGCACTTTCTAGACACCATCTTTTAATCTTCATGACAACCCAGCAGAGTTGGGATTATTATTCCTCAGTTTGCAGATGAGGAGCGTAAGACTGGAGGATGGTCACTTATCTAAGCTCCCGTAACTGGTAAGTGACAAAGTTATACTAAAACCCAGGATCTTCCTGCAAAGCTTGTGCTATTCAATGCCAGGATTCCATTCTGAACTCTGATGTTCATTCTCTATAGGACCTAGGACTGGATCTTTGCCTGTTTAGGCCTCTATTTGCTCATCTGTGGAATGAGAAACAGTACTGATGGGTCGTCCAGAGTTCTACAGCTAGTACTGTTCTGCCTGGGTTTGAGCTCTTACACACCTGCAAACAGACTTTCCCCCCCAGCTTTGAGAATTTTTGGTTTGGTTTCATAGTGACAGCCTAGGTGCTATGTATTAATTCTATAGCAGTGACATTAATAGCAAGCAATTAAGAGACTATATAGCATAAAATAGTATGGATCAGTGCTTTCTATAGACCAGTAAAGCTTTCTGTGATGATGGGAATGGTGTATATCAGCCCAGTAGCTGATAATGACGTGTGGCTATTGAGCACTAGAACTATGACCAGTGTGACCACAGAACTGAATTTTAAATTTTATTTAATTCAAATTTCAATATTCACATGTGTCTTGTAGCTACCATATTGTACAGCATAGGAATAGACAAGGTAATAATATAAAACAAAGTAGGTTTTAGATTCTTCTATCATTATCTTTGTTTCCTATGTTCCATTCAAGGCCTCTGACTTACATGTGGATTTTTCCAGAGTAGTACCTGATGTATTACTGCATTTACATTATGCTTTCAGTTTCAGAACACTGAAGTATACTTGACTGTACGTTGTCCCCCCTTGCCCATGAAGCATGTAAAAAAGATGAAGAGTGCTCTTTGCATTTCTCAGATAGGGAAGTGGAGCAACAGAGATGTTAAATACACTATTAAGAACTGAGTGAGTACTTATTGCACGAATAAGTGACATCTGAAACCAGTTTTGGAGCAGTTGAACCAGGACTGCGAAAATATACTTTCTAGTTCTCAGAGTTTCTTCTATTTTTCCTTGTCCCCCCACCCAAGTTTTATTTATTCATTCACTCATTCATTTATTTATTTTAAGGTTTTTGCCATAGGGCATATGTGCTTACCAGAGAGAGAGAGATAGTAAGAAGTCACTCCCAGGGAAATGGCTACACAGCAGTCCCGTCTCCTCTATTCTCTCCCTGGGGTTTTGGGCGCACACACACACACACACCCAGCATGATTTTTAGGCTGCCAGGTCTGGGACTTGAACTACTTTTGGACTTGAACTACTTGTGGGAGTCCAGTGCTTTAACCACCACACCACCTGCTGGCTCCCCTCTTATTTTTCTATCACTGGTGTGCCAAGCATAGAATAGAGAGACTCTGCTTATTAGATAATTCTTCTACATTAGGTGTGGGACTCCCCCCCCCACCCCTGCCATTGTATACCTTTCTGAACTATTTGATGTTTTCACTCTGTGTAGATATCTTTTCATTATAACAATAAAATAGACATTTGGAAAAATTCTATGAAATAGTATAAGGCTGCAAAGTGAAACTGTTTCTATTTTGTAAATGTGAGAACTGTCATGCTAACCAAACAGAGAGGCAGGATTTTCATGTGGGATCTGTGATCAGAAGAGGATGGAACCCCATGTCAATCACACCTAGTAATGGTAGACTAGTTCCTATCAAACCAACTTTACTGCAGAAAACAAATGCAGACTCACACAAAATGTGAACAGATACCGACAGGAATGGGAGAGTGACCAAAGCAGTCACATTCTTCACAGTGTTAAAGTCCTGCAAGTGAAGAATGACTGAGGGACTGCTCCAGATTGATTCTCAAGAGACATGACAACAAGGTGAAATTTGCCGACTTGCAAACTGGATCTTTTCATAGTGAAGGACATTGCTGGGACAATCGGTGGAACCTAAATGGAGTCAGAAGTTTCTCTGGAAGTTACATGCCAGTGTTAGTTTTTTAGTTGGGATGATTAAATTTTATGATGTAGAGTGCGTTGTTGATTGTGGTGACAAATCAATGAAAACATTTTAGAGTGATGTGGCATCAATTTGACAAGGTGCACAGAGAACTTTCAGAGAAAAAGAGAAAGCAGGAAGGAACTATACAGCAAAGATGGCAAAACGTTAAGATTTGGGAAATATGAATAAAAGGTAAATAGGGGTTCTTTGTACAGTTTTTATAACTTTTCTGTAAGTTTGAATTTATTCCCACAAATAGTAATGTGTTCTATTTTTATCATTGTCACACATTAGTATTTGTGGGATGCAGCTAAAGACGTGCTTTTAGGGAGATCTGTATCTATTTTTTTTTTTTTTTTGTCTTTTTAGGTTTTTTGCTGTAGGGTGTGTATGCTGCCAGAGGGAGGGAGGGAGAGAGAGACACACACACACACAGAGGGAAGATCTTCCCCTGGAGGAATGGCCATGTCATAGTCTCTTCTCTGAAATTTCGGGATTTTGGGCACACATGTGTACATGCCTGGTATGATTTTCAAGCCATCAGGTCTGGATCTCGAACTGTGGTTGACCATGTGGGAGTCTAGCACTTAACTACTATGCCACCAGCTGACCCTGAAATTTATATCTTTAAAGGCATATATTAGAAAAGAAAAGGTTCTAGATTCATTAACTTAAGGTTCCACCTTTAGAAGTTGGTTAAAGTTGAGAAAAATTAACATTGAAAAACTCAGTTCTAGCTGGCCCTTACTGCTGCAGTTAAGCATTCTGCCTAGAAAGTTGGATCCCACATGGCTGACTATGGCTTAAATCCCAGTGCAGGGGGCTTGCAAAAAATACTCTGGGTGCTTGTGTATGTCTGTGTGTGTGTGTGTGTGTGTGTGTGTGTGTGTGCGCGTATGTATGCCCCCAAATCCTGACAGGATGGAGTAATGGAGGAAAAAGGATTACATTTCGATTGCACCCCATTGGGTGGTGCTTTTTCTCTGGCAAGTGGTGTGCCCTCTCGCACAAATTAAAAAAAAAAAAAATTTTTTTTTTGGAGAAGTTTTTGCTATAGGGCATGTGCGTTCACCAGAAAGACAGGGAGCGACAGAGAGGCAGAAAGTGAGAAATCACCCCTCAGGGGGGAAGGCCACGCCGCAATCCCTTCTTTTCCATTTTCCTCTTGGGATCTTGGGCACACATGCACATGCGCCCTGCACGAATTTAAGCCACCGGGTCTGGGACTCGAACTGTGGTCAACTACATGGAGTGACATAGCCATTATGCCAACTGCTGGTCCCTAAAAAATTTTTTTTAATTAAAGAATTTATATAGCAGCCACAAAGAATTGGAAAAAAATTTAAAAAGCAGTTTCTTTTATAGCACAGCAAAAAGCAAAATAAAAAAAATTGGTATAAATTTAACAAAAATGGTGCAAGACTTGTACGTTAAAAACTACAAAACACTACTAGGAGAAGTTAAGACCTCAATAAATGAAAAGATCTATCACACCCATGGATTGAAAGACTTACTGTTGAGTTGTCAGTTTTCCCCAAATTGACTTGTAAGTTTAAAACCATCCCAGGAGGCTTTTTTCCCGGCAGGGGTAGAAGTTGATAAGCTGATTCTAACGTTTATATGGAAACATAAAGGACCGTGACGTGACTCTACAGCAGTCTTGGAAAGAATAAAATTGTAGGGTTCACATAACCTGACCTCAAGCTTGTCTCTAAGGCCACAGTTTTAAACAACAAAACAATGCCAAGCAATTTAATTTTATTGGGTGTTCAGGAAAGCTGCGATGCATTTTTGCATAGAAAAACAGAAAAACAGTCATGACTTTTCCAGTGACCTAGTACAAAGGATAGTAGGCTTGAATAGACGTTGCTCCACAGATGGTGTTCAGATGGCCAACAAGCATTACCTCGGTGCCGATCAAATGCTCTCATACTCTAACCTAAAAGTTCTTCCCATCGGCCAAACCCAGAGAAAGTCAGGAAGGCAAGGAAGTCTGGCTGATGTATCATTTCTCCACACAAAAAGGAAAGGAGTAAATCAGAGAAAAAGAGAAGAAAAGTGAAAAATCATTCAGTTAATAAATCACTAGTCATTAGGGAAATGCAAATCAAAACCACAATGAGATACCACCTTAACACATTTTAGTAGGAAAAAACCCAGAATGACAAGTGTTGGTCATGGTGTGGAGAAATTAGAACTCTTCTGTCGTTGGTGGGAATGTAAAGTGATGCAGCTGGAAAACAATATGGCAGTCCGCAAAACACTAAAAATAGGGGGCCACAGGGTGGTGCAGTGGTAGTGAACTGGACCCGTGTGGGAAGGTCCTAGGTTTGGTCTAAGGGCCTCCCTGTACACACCCAGCAAGCACGTGCCAGTTACGTGAGCCAGTTGAGGCTGGAGATGGGATTGCGGCGTGAGGTATGCTTCCCTCTCAGGAGAAATAGTTTTGTTTTTATTTTTAATTAAAATAGAATTACCATAAAATTTGTCAATACTACTTCTGGGTATATAGCTCAAAGAATTGAAAGCAGGATCTTGAAGATGTATTTGCATGCCCATGTTCGTCGTAGCAGTTCTCAAATAGCAAGAAGATGGATACAATCTAGTTGTCTGTTGGCATGTGAGTGGTAAGCCATATGCATAAACTGGACGAGAGCCTTAAACAGGAAGGAAATTCGGACACAAGGTGCACGCAACATGCATAAACCTTGAGGACAGTGTATTAATGAAATAAATCCGTACAAAAGGACAAATGTGTGATTCCATCCAAATGAAATACCTAGAAGAGTCAAATTCGTAGAGACAGAGAGTCTAATGGTGGTTCCCGAGGGCTGGAGAAGGGGGGGTAAGGGGAGTCATTTCTGAATGGGTACAGAGTTTGAGTTTGTATGATGCAAAGAGTTCTGAAAGTGGATGTGGTAATGGTTACACCACAGTGTGAACATTCTTCATGTCACTGGACAGCACATTTAAAAATGGTCAAGGTGGTACATTTGATATTATGTGTATTTTACCACAATACAAAGACTTGTGGCAGGGGCCTGGGGAGGTGACTCCATAGCCTGGTGGTAAAGGCATCTGGATTCCACATGGCCAATCCCACAGTGTCAGGCCTGGACCCGGTGACTTGAGAAACAATCCAGGTGCATGTGTGTGCTGCCCCAAATCCTAAAGGAGAGCGAGAGAGAGGAGAAGAGATTATGGCATGACCATTCCCCATGGGGGGGTGCTTGCTTTCTTTTTTTAACCTCTCTTTGCTTCTCTCTCCAGTGAATACAGTGTGCCCCCTCTGGAAAAAATTTAGAAAATGAACAAAATAAGAAAAAGAATAGGGGAGAAATAGAAGCATATGTAACAGACACTATATCTGCAGTTTATTAATTTATTTAATTTTATTTATTATCATAACCTTGTTTATATTACATTGAATCACATATCTTTAAAGTGTATTACATTTCTTTTTCCAGTAGGAATAACATATCAGTCAGGACAAAGACATTACTGTCCACATCATCATCATCAAATAGTTTTTCATCATTTTTTTCAGATTATTATTATTATTATTCTCATTTTTTTTTTTTTGGAGAGGTTTTTGCTATAGGGCACGTGCGCTCGCCAGACAGACAGAGAGAGACCTAGAGACAGAAAGCGAGAAATCACCCCCCAGGGGGGATGGCCACGCCGCAATCCCTTCTCCTCCATTCTCCTCTCGGGATCTTGGGCACACACGCACATGCACCCGGGGTGAGTTTAAGCCACTGGGTCTGGGACGTGAACCGCGGTCGACTACGTGGGAGTCTAGCGACATAGCCATTACGCTAACTTCTGGTCCCCTTATTCTCATTTTTTAAAAAACATTCAATCACTATATATCATTTGGCTTATAAAATGAATTTACCCAAGTTGAAATACTTCTCAGACCAGTCCAGTTGGGAATACCATACATGTTTTATCATCAACAGCTGATAAACCCTTTCTGTGTCCCATTAATGTCATGCCTCTCTATTTGTTTTCTTGCTATCTTTCTCTATACTCTTCCCTTCTCCCATCCCATTCCACACTGTCTTCAGCTTCAATAACCGTGTTCACTACTTTTATGCCCTCCAGTAGGTCGATAACTACCATAAAGTGTGGATAGTCGGTATATATTAAGTGGATACATGCAATATCTTTCTTTCATATCCTGGGTTGCTTCACTCAGCATTAGATCCTCCATAGTCGACCACTTTCTATCAAATGCTAGGGTCTTATTATTATTTTTTATGGCTGAGTAGTATTTCATAGAGTGTATGTGCCACACTTTTTCCATCCATTCATCTGTTTGTGGACATTTGGATTGGTTCCATGTCTTAGCGATCGTGAGTAATGTTTCAATAACACTTATGTGCCAGTGCTTTTCTTATTGAGCATTCTCATGTCCTTTGGGTGGATACTCAGAAGTGGGATTGCTGGATCATATGGTAGTTCTATTTGTAGATCGTTGAGGAACCTCCATATTGTTTTCCACAGTGACTAAACCAGTCTGCAGTTTATTTTGAAATGCATAAAATAGATGGACTGATGAATGGAGAGGGGACTGGCTAGGTATGTGATAAAGCACATGCAGTAAAAAGTGCATCGTTAGGATCTAGGTAGTAGAAATGTGAGTGTTTACTGTATAGTTAAGCCTTTTGTAGGTTTGAAAAATTTTGAAAAGTGTTGGGGAAGAAACAAATTATTAAAAGAAAGGATGCTTTAGGGCCAGTAGATGGTGTAGATTACATTGCTGGGATACCACATAATCGAATGAGGTTTGAGTCCCAGATCTGGCAGCTTAAAACTCATGTGTGTACATGCCCAAAATTTTGAGAGAAGAGTGAAAGAGGAAGGATTATGGCATGGACATACCCCTTGGGGATGATTTTTTTGCTTTCTCTCTTTTTGTCTTTTTCTGTCTCTCTATAGCAAAAATCTCTTTCTAAAAAGAAGACAGGACACCAGTTTCTAATGGCTTTTAACACCCCTCAGCCCTACAGCGACTTTAGGGCTTCTGCAGGACACCAGTTTCTAATGGCTTGAACCACCCGTCAGCCATACAGTGACTTTAGGCCTGCTTTGAGCAGTGGGTGGCCTGATCTTGGGCAGTGGTTCCCATCTTAGCCTTTACACTAGTTTTCTCCAGTGTGAGCCTGAAGGCAAACTAGAAGGGGGCCCTCAGGAGTGATCGCCATTTTTCAAAGAAATAAATGTGGGTGAGATTGGGCAGAGGGTGGGAAACTGACATTGGGGGCTTCCTTACCCAGCATTCTCTATGGATATTGTCTCATTTATTTCTGCCAGTGATATTAAGTAGGTGGACTTTATCGTCTCTGCGTTACAGATGGGACCCTGGAGCTCTAAGAGGCTAAGCACCTGGCCCACGGCTGCACAGCAGAGCAGGGCCTGCCACCCAGATGTGTGGACATGCAGTGCACTGTCCTTGCCACTGTCCTGGCTGGCCTGTTGGCATCCTGGAGAGTGGTGTCTTGCCCATGGGGAGAGGAATACTGGGGGTGCATGGTGGCTTGGGTCTCTCACACCTCCTTTTGTTCTGGAAGTCCTCTTTCAGCTTCCCTATTGAACCTTCTAGAATGGACTTACTTGTTGGCTAGAGCCTTTCCCATTCAGCTTTCCTCTTGGCCAGCTGGGAAGAGGAGAGGAGGAGCCGGGATGGAGAGTACACTGACTGTACCATCAGAAAGGTTTTTCTGGGACTCCGCTGTAATTAACACTTTTCACTTAAAATAAAACAAGGGAATAGCTGTTCCTTCTCCTTTCCAAATACACTGAGAACCTTTGTGGCATCCTGGTGGCTCGTTCCTGTGATGTCTAAGCTTTAGGTGTGGATTGAGAAAGGTTCCGACACCACCGTTATCAGAGGGGCTTTCTCGGGGGAAGGACCAAGTCTGGGATGGTCTGCTCATCTGCCGGGTGGGGAGGTCACTGAGCTGTGGACTGACCTGAGGCTGGCTTTCTCTTTGTCTTCATACTTTTGGGATGTCCCTCATGTCTTTGTTCCCTGCTGGCTCACTGACTCCCTCCCCTGCAATGACTGTCCTGTCCCTGAGGAGTCGTGCTGTTTGCGATCCCTGGGCACACCTGAGTGATCCAGAGGAAGCCAGCAGCATACTGTATTCATGCAGCGAGGTGGCACCTTCGCTTCCTGCGTTGAAATGCCCAAATTAATTCACTGTTGTTAGCAGTCCTCCCGGCTGAGAGGGCTGTTGGCGTTCAGAGTGTTCCAGTGCAAGAGGTGGGGCTGCGAAGTGGATTTTGCTCTCCATACGCAAATGCTTTGGCCGGATTTACCTTGGTACTTCATTATTGTGGAAACCGACTGGCGACTGGCGACTGGCGAGGGAGGGAGATGGAGACAGGCTGGTGGGTGGATAGAAGCCAGAATAATGAAGTCCACTTTCCTTCTTAAATTAGAAAACAAAACAAAACAAAAATCAAAACCCAAAAACCCCAAACCTTATGTTTCTAGGCTTGCCGTCTAACTTATTTACTATGAGAACGTGCTCCTCTGTTCTTTCTTTCCTCTACCCTGATCTCCCTTTCTCTTTCTCCTTACCCTGTTACTCTCTTCTCCTATCTGTCCCTGCTGGACCTTCTACTCTTTTAGCCTTTGTTTTCCAAAACTGTGAAAATATGGGATGGTGGGGAAGTACAGCATTCCAGACTCCTGCTTCCCTTCCCCAGGTAATAGGGTCACCGTATACAAAGGGGGTCCAGGATGTAATAGTGGCTTTTTTTTTTTTTTTTTTTTTTTTTGAGAGGTTTTGCTATAGGGCGCATATGCTTGCCAGACAGAAGAGAGAGACATAGAGACAGAAAGCGAGAAATCACCCCCCAGGGGGGATGGTCATGCCGCAATCCCTTCTCTTTCATTCTCCTCTCGGGATCTTGGGCACGCACGTACGTGCGCCCAGCGTGAGTTCTAAGCTACCGGGTCTGGGATGTGAACCGTGGTCGACTACGTGGGAATCCAGCAACATAGCCATTACGCTAACTGCTGGTTCCCAATAGTGGCTTCTTCAGAGTTTATCACACTCGTTATGCTTTGTCCCACAGTGGCCCACTGGATAAGAGCACGTCTACACCAAGCTAGGGGGCACCCAGAAACCAAGGCTGAGATTGATGAGCTTTCCCTCACACTCATTTGTTGCATCACTTTGGTCTCTTCTGATGCTGACGCGGTATCCTGCCATCGCCTCCGCTGAGCAGTATGGCTGATCACAACTGCATCCCTGCACCTGCTTTGGATTAGATGCTGTTTGTTCACTTCATAGAGCTCTGGTTCTGTGTTGCCCAGTGCCCCTCTCCGTTGCTAGGATGTCCTGTGTTTCTGTGTTTGCCCATTGTCAGTTGTTCTTGACTCCCCACTCTGAGCTTCCTATTTTTCCATGTCTCTGTTGTTGACAATAACTGAAGTGTCCTGCAGTGCTGGGCAGAAAGACCCATAGGAGGTGAAAGAGTCTAGGGCCCCTCCTATTCTCATGGATCTAATCTCTCGAGAGCCAGGGATTCTGTAATGTATAGTAGCACCCTGAACTGGGTTCTAGATTGAGTTTGGCAATAACTTGCTGTATGGCTTTTAAGAAGTCAGTGGCATAGTGGTTAACGCACTGGACTTTCACATGGCTGACCATGGTTCGAGTCCTGAACCTGGCAGCTTGCTTTCTCACTTTCCTTCTCTCTCACTCTTTTTTTTTTGGAGAGATTTTTGCTATAGGGGGCGTGCGCTCACCAGACAGACAGAGACAGACAGAGAGATGGAAAGCGAGAAAGCCCCCCCCAGGGGGGATGGTCACGCCGCTATCCCTTCTCCTCCATTCTCCTCTTGGGATCTTGGGCATGCACGCACGCGCGCCCGGCATGAGTTTAAGCCGGGACTCGAACTGCGGTTGACTATGTGGGAGTCCAGCGACATAGCCATTATGCTAACTGCTGGTCCCGCTCTCTCACTCTTTCACTTGGGTCCTCTCTGGTTAAATTAAAATAAATAAATAAATTTAACTAAGATAATTCTTTTTTAAAAAAAGAAGTCATTTACCTCTTCGTATTTCAGCTTTCCTGTCTTAAGGCAAGGTACCTTCAGGTACATAAGTATAAATTAAGGTGCTTATGTTACGTTGTGACCAAGTCTAAGCCCTTCTCAGGCATATCATTCTTTAAAGCACTTGGTGAGACTAACCAATGGTGGGACAAACAAAAAATATCTGAGTTTGTCTAGTCTTGCATCTCCTTTCTTCTCTGTGGCATGCCTGGGACCACAATTGTGGAATGAAGCCATGGTACAGGTTGAGGTCTGCAGGAAAGTGACCATGAGCACAGTTCCAGTAACAGGTCCTGGCAGCATGTGTGCTGGGCCAAAGGGCCTTTAGTACTTGGGGTGTTGGGAAGGGCAGAACGGCCATTGGCTGCTAGGGGTGGTTTCCCAGAGCATCTCCCTCCTGGCCATTGACTGTTTTACTGAGAATAGTACATGCACCAGGCTCTAGGTGGGGAGGATGGCACCAATACAGCTCGCCGATGTGGGTGGAGAAATGTCACAGATGGTTCTAGAATCCTGAAGTCAAACCTAATCAGGGGCCGTGTGTCACACAGGGCTGGCTTGACCCTTCTGCCTGTGGATCCAAATTTAGGATAAATTTTATTGTTAGAAAACTGATTCTTAAATATATATATATATATATATGTAAAATTCTAATTATATATATAGTATGTGTTCACTGTAGAATTACTGAAGAACACCAAAATCTTCCGTAATTTCGCAACCTCTGGAAAACCACTTGTAACATTCTAATGCATTTTCTAACGTGTTTTTTCTTTATTCATGATTGAGTGTGCATATATGCATGGGGGAGAGGGAGGGGGGAAGATATAAGTACCCTCCACAGGATGGGGGCCGTGCCACGGTCCCCTTTCTCAGTCCTTCCTGCTCAGATCCTGGGTACTCATGCACATGCCTGGCATGGCTCAGGCTTACCGGTCTAGGAATTAGAGCTGCCGGTGCCATGTGGGAGCCAGCTTCTGAGCAGCACATTCC